TCATATTCGCGTGATTATAAAATTGTAGTAGCGATATATCTATATGAACGAGCTAAAAGCCGTCTGGTGTCTTCGAGAATGGGAGTTCTCCGCGACGATCTTAGCTCTTACAGGGAGAAGAGAACGTGGATGCCGCCAGTGGGCTGGTCAGGCCACAGCACCGCCCCTTGACTCTCGACTTACTTTTGCCATCTTGCCTCCGATTCTGCGGTTAGCCCCACTTCGACCAGAAACCAGGGAAGCCGGCTTGTATCCGTCGGTCGCAAATCGGACCCGCGGATCGGACATAATACATGATCGGTTTTTATGTCAGAAAAAAATGCCATTTTTTTCTCATAATAATAAACCAAATTATTATTGCGGAAGCTTCAAATCGATCTAATAGACAATATTATGAAAAATTGGGTGTTATAGCTTTTTAAAATTCTGTTGTATAAATCATATAAATATTATTTAATATTAGTTTCAAAAAGTCTTGAAAAAGATATTATTGAGATATTTTTAATACAACTGACATCAGTATTACATGTGTATACGAGATGCATTTAAACGATTGGCTATGATTATTTAGGTAGAAATGAAACCAAGGCTGCGTGTGCTGCTTTGATTCGCTGACACGGAATGCTATATAATGATATTTTTCCTTCCACCCAATGACCAGGAATCGATATGGGTATGTCGTGTGTATGCGTTTATTCAACGACGTTGTTTCACCAAGCTTTCGATCAATGATGCATTTTCATTACGCGATTCGAGCTTTCCACCGAGTATCACGCAATAATAGGGATGTTTTTAGCCCCATACCTAAATTACGTATTCAGCTGCAGCCCATGGAACAAGCAAATTATTTCTTTCTAATTTTGTATTAACTTTTATGCACGAGGTTGATGCATAAGTATAACTCGAGTATTATAATGATATGTTTTTAGAAAATAAGATATTTTTATTATGATAAATATAATTTCATAAAATTAACATATATGATCATAAAAAATATATTCGACGTGTCGAGATGATTGCGATTAATTGTAAGATGTTAAATGTAAAATTAGGTGACAAAACTAGAAAGAATTATTATTTTTTTAATTTTCTGCGTTAAATCGAATTATAGAGTTATAATTACAAAAATGTTGCACGCTCCAGCGTGTCCGATCTATCACCCCGCTTGAACAACGAAAAGAGAATCAAGGGTAAACGAGGGCGCGGAAAATCAGCCGTCCGGCTGTGCCCCGTCATTCGGTCGGTGCAGCGCGGCGTGTGGAACGCTGCGCGCGGCCATAATAATAATTTTTACAAGCCCGCGTGTAATCAAGGCTGCGCGTTACACATGTTCTGTCCGTGGGCGCCCCCTACTCACGGCACGTACGACCCCCCTCGCCGGCACCGTAGGGGTGGCTACGGCACGTAGTAGGGGCGGCCATTCGCGAGAGGGGGCGAAGAGGAGAAATGAGGAGGGGGAACGAGTTAGGGGGTGCCAGCGGGGTTGCTTCGTGGATGGCGAGGAGAGGAGATCGACGGTAGAACCGAGACGGAATACACTCGTGGCGGATGCGGCGGCGTAGGTGGGCAAGGGGGTTGGCAGGGTGAGACGCGGCGGGGTCCGGGGAACGGGGGGTGGTGTAGTATTCACGCGGCACGATCGCTGGTGCTGCTGCTGTTGTTGCTGCTGCTTCTGCTAGCGCCCCGGTCCGCCGTTCTTCGGTGTATTGTTGTCCAATCGAGCGTACCGACGAACCGGTTTTCGAGCCGGACCACACGCGCCAATATCGCTCGTACAGTATGGCACGAGCTTTTTTTGGGTGGGCGGTCATTGAACAACGGGATGTTATTGGTCGATCGCCGTGACACATGCTCGCGTGCGTTTGGGATCGGGAGATCTGGTGACGCTGCTATTTTATCGCAGCGATTTTATCGACGATTCGCGGTATCCGCACGCGATCGTAGACTCGCACCGTTATCGAATTCCGCACCGATCGGCAATGGTTCTAGATCCTTAGCTAGTGTATTTGTTTTTATATATCGTATAGACCGCGCGCGCGGCGAACGTGAGAGTCCGATTTTCTTCGAACGCGTTGTTTCCGATACGTGTGGTGCGTTGGATTTAATTTGGTGATCCCGCGTTTGATTACCTTCGTTTGTCATTTTTATGGTGCTCAAGTGAATGATAAATGTAACTTTTCTATAATTGTTACACGTACGATTGTCCGATCGAGTCTACAATAATTCCTCGCGATAATTGCTCGTTTTCGCTGCCACGTGTTCGTGCATCGGGTTCGAAGATCGGCGTGGACGTACAGTGTGTTATCATCGATTGATTGTGGTCTCCTGTAAAACCCATCAAGCTTTGATGGGGTTGTCACGTGTCGGTGGGACGTTTGTGAGCTCGAGAGTCATCGAGAAACGAAGAGTGTCGTGCTGGAATTGACTAGTCAGGATCTGCGGTGAATGATGGTTCGTTCTTTCGATCGATTCCAACCCGTGGCACTGTGCCGAAAGATTGTATTCGATTTACGAGGAAGAGGAACTTGTCATTTGAAAATGTAAAAGATTAAGTGAGTATAGCGTTGCCTTGCACGATATCATTAATTTTTGTGCTTGACAATATTTCACAGAAATTTGACGAGAATGTTAGAGAACGATTTTCAAAAATTACTGTATTTTGTGATGCAAGATGTTCTAATTAGACGATTATGTTACGCTACATTTGGATCCCATCAAATTCTCATTCAGTTAAATTGTCATTAGGTACGGCTATGAGAGTGTAAACAGTATATGCGTAGGCATATAGAGACATTCATATTTTATTTCCTAAACACATTAGACATTAGTGACTCGTGGCAACAATTATGTCGATGAACACGGCTCATTAATTAACGCCCTTCAATGCCTCGCCATATCGGGCTGTATCCTACAGCAATACGATTATCTAGAAATAGAAACACGTGAAATGGTTCATTATCTCTTTTAGTATATCAGTAAAACGTTGAAGCGTCATAGAGCAATTGGATTAATTGGATTAACTCAACGACTGATAAAAATAATTTAAAATTGAATTTATTACTAATAAACGAAAAAAAACTATCTAACATTTTAAATAAAGTAGTTGTGATAAAATACTCTTATAGGTGCTTTTACAAAAATTATCATTACGCCTTCTCATATTATCGTCACAATCCTAAGAACCGCGATTGTCTTAGTGCCTTCTCCGCAAGTTTCACAATTAGACTTGGTTAAAACGAGAGGCGGACTCGCGAATTCGAGCGCGCGGGTTAAAGAAACGGTACTCGTGGAATAGCGGAGAGTACCTGGTTTGCCGTGCCCGGCAGTTGATCGGAGCGTGACGAGCGGTAATTGAATGTAGGTATGGCATTTGCATTGACAAGCTCCAACAGAGATAATTCGAATCTCGTCGAACGCAACGGTCCACACGGGCGTTAGGTCGTTTGTCAATACGACGGCGGCCGTCCAGTTTCCACGTTTCCAACGGTATCGCTGTTTGTCACCGTCTCGTCGGTGATCGTTCGCCACTGAATACACCCGGTGCATACTTCTGTAGCGCGAATGCATTTCGTTTCGTTTCGCGAGCCGCGGCGTTAAACGCGCGTCAAACGCATAGCAAACTGTCCGAAGAATATTATGGCTGATTGTCATCAGTAAATTCTGGTCCGTTTTTTCTTTGTAAAAAAAAAAGAGAGGAAACAGACATTTGAGATAAGATTTTGATCTAAATTTATCTTTACATCTTTGAATACACGCAGTTTGAATTTAATCCATTAATTGCCTTGTAGAAATTTTTATAATAAAATAACAAAGAATAAAAAAAATAAAAATACGTTGAAGAAAAATTGGCGTGATAATCTGTTCGGCATTTTTTTAAAATAAAGATAAAAAGGTTGCATTTTATCAGATTAAAATTCTAATTATTAAGATATTTCAATATGTATAGGAGCGCTAAACCGATGCAAAAAAATTTCGAGTTTGTGGATTTTCTATAAGTGGATCCGTACATATCCGTAGAACCTCGAGTGTTTGCCTGCCGGCAGGTCCGCGACCGGTTGGATATCGTCAGGATATATTCGCGCAGGAAATGGGTAGTTCCATTGTTTGCACATTCGTACAAACAGTGCAACTGCGAGGATGCGCTGGGACCTCTGTTTGATTTTCGAAAGTGAAGCTTCATTGTACGAGATACTGTGTTGTACGAATGTTCCGTTGCATATGAAACAACGATGCGTTCCGAGGAAAAAAAAAAACGTAGCTCTCAAATTGAAGGAAACGATCCGCGAGCGTGTGCCAATTATTGAAATGCATACGCAAATGACATTCTCACGAATTTTTCACGCGTACGTCGCGATGTCGGTTGGCCGGAAATTTCGCACGCACGGAAATTCAAACATCGGATTTGACGTGATTAATTCCGCGGAAACTTTTGCTTCGGAGAGACCTAATTGGAAGTATCGAGGTGTTGCAACGCAGATCGCGAGTTACGCACGCGAAAGAAGAGGAAAAAATGTACGCGCGCGCGTACAAGCCGTAACAGAGAAAACCGATCAAATCAGGGTTCGATAGATCGATCGAAGGCACCCGGCTCCCCACCGATGTCCAGCACACGCGAGCCATACCGCAAAAGGGTCGAGGGGAAAGAGAGCGTGCGAGAGAGCGAGAGTGCCCCGAGATAAAGAGAGTCGTCGTCGCGAGAGGGAGAGGGAGGGTCGGGTCCGGTGGGAGATAAAGCGATAAAGAGCGGCGTGCGCGCGAGAGAAAGAGGTTACGCCAGGCGGAATGAGGGACGGAAAGAGAGAGAGAAAGAGAGAGAGAGAGAGAGGGCGAGGAAGAGAACGAGAGGGAGGGAGTGAGAGACAGAGAGCGAGAGCGAGAGAGAGCCAAATAGGGAAGGAAGGTTGGAAGGAGTGGGGTGGCAGAGGGGTGTGAGAGAGGAACCTGGTAAGGGGAAAGGGATGCTGCGTGTGTTGGCATGGACCAGTGCGTCAACGGCTGTTGCCTCACACGAACCGCCGAAATTATAGTTAGTGACCCCCAACGGATACTTCGAGATATACTCTTGACTACCGAGAACGCTATACCGAGACGGAACTGCCACTTTCGTAGTATACGCGGGGGACGAAGATGATTCGAGAGTGCCGCTAACGAACCGTCAAAGGGGTCCCTTCGGGATCACCTAAGAGGGGACCGTCGTAGACCAATCCTCGGCCAAGCGAATTTGACAAGTCCGTTTCGACAGACTAGATTATTCTACTGATTACTGATAGATCGTTTCAGTGAAGTGTTTCGAAAAGACTGACGAATATATTTGTTCTCGTTTCGATAGGACTATATTTGTATATCAGAGTGCGTGATATTATGCGAGAGTTTCAGTGGCGAATAATGACGAATGTGATGTCGTGTATTTGATCGGTAACTGCAGTCAGGTAGACGGAGAATTTGGAGTCGAAAGTTTGAGACGCGAGTAAGTGGATTTTTTGAAAAATGTTATTTTTCGTTACTGACGCGATTATTTCAAAAGTGTGTGTTTTTTTTTATATCTTTTGCTATCAATTAAACAAATATATTTTAATTTTGTAAAAGACTTTAATAAAACTTTTAAGTAATCAGTTTTAATTATTTTATTAAAACTAATATTACAACTTGTCATTTTCGAAAGAAAAATTTTTATCATAATATTCTTTTTATTTACATATTTCACATTTTTTAGTTTCTTTCTTTAAAATGCTTCAAGATATTGCAATACAGTTTTTTTCTCTGTAAAACATTTTCAAAAGTGGATAATAATACGTGGTCGGTACTAGAATTTCTCCGGAAGAAGACGATAAATAGAATGAGTTCCGTAAGAGATTTGAATGCGAAGTTAAGCGAGAATCTTAGTCGTCGCGACGTCGTTGAGTCTTCTTACGAAATTACAATAAAAATCAACGCTGTTATCACTGTTCTCAGTCGTAGAAACATTTTGTATTATTCTGTTATGTGCTCCTTCAACTTTTGGTTTTGCCTTCAGTAGAATGTTGAAAACGCTTAACAACCGCTTTTTTCATCGCGGGTTTTTGAATAACGTATAGCAATATGAATATCCATCTATATACTCACGAATTAACGTAATTAATTGTCATCTGTATATCACGTAGAATTAATGTAGTAAAACGATTTCAAACGTTGTTTTATACGAAGCTCTTCATGCGCGGCCAAATATAATGACCAATTTCGATTATTGATCAGCATGCTCGCCATGTAATAGAGTGTATTCGCAGTCGCTTTGATTATGGCTATCTCCATCTTATCAATTTAATATGAATCGATTCGCAATTTCGAAATCACCGTCATTGACAAGAAGCAACGTGGTAAACGTAGCCACGTGCAGTTTGACACGCGGTCGTACGTGCGTAGGGGTTGGGCATTCGTGTGGGGGGGTGCCTACCGGCGGGCGTTCTTTTTCCCCTATTTTTTCCGTCCCCACCACCGTGCCGGTCTGCCCCTCCTGGAACCACCTGGATCTGGCGTGTCAGCCCCGGTGACGTGCGCAAAAATTACTGAATGAACGGTGACGTCACGAGCCAGCCGCGTGAAAAGTGTGCGAGTCGTTCCTGTTCGTGTCAACCGTTTTCAACCCCCTTTCGTTTCTCTTCGCGCGTTACCTGCCGTTCGATTACTACGCCCGCTTTTCTCGTTCGGCCCCGAGGGTGTCACGTCGTCGCGACGGTCAGAGACAATTTGGTTTAAAGGATCTCGATTGTAAGATAACGTAAAAGATTTTCGTTAAGTGGATTAAGGATGGCTGAAGCGTTGCCGACGGTCGCGAGGATATACTATTGCGCGGCACGGGCTTTCCTGAATCAATCTTTTGATTTCTCGATAGCTTCATTTTTCGACCATATCAAATGTAGATTGATGTTTTGAAAATTAATAAATAATTGTAGATCTAATTGTTTTAATAATTTTATAAAAAACATTGCACGATAAATTATAGCAGAAACTTTATTGTTACATGTAGGCTATTTGTGTTTTATTTCAGATATTTACAATACAGCTGTGCATTAGAAGATAAAATTTTAGAAGAATAAAATTACCTTGGCTTGGCTCTCGTCGAAAACACGTCTCGAAAACTTTAACTTCTACAAAAGTTGATATTATATATCCAACAGAAATAATAATCTCCCTAAGTCTATTAAAGAAAGACTAAAAGAATAAGCAATTCGCTGCCAGATTTATACAACACAATGCATACTTATACGAAGCAACTCGAAGAGAATTACGAATCGAGCATTTATCTCGCCTACATTATAAAGAAGACTTGCTAAAATTTTAATGACATCGTGAAAATAAGCTACGGTTGCTTCAGAATTTTGGAAAAGAGTTTGGATTTTTGCGAGGAAAGAATGTCGGACTGTCGAGCCTGATTCGAGAGATCATGCGTTCGTGAAGAATGCTCGCAAGGCTCGCCTGGTTCAGCGGCTGAACCGAATGGGAGGATGTTTCATCCGGTGTTCTGACTGCCTATGGATATATTCGGCCGTTGCAACGGCGGCGGCAGCGGAAGCACGGTAGCCGGAAACGGTGCTGGCTCGGTAAGGACATCCAGCAACGAATCCGCGGGTGGTGGTGGTGGTGGTGGTGGCGGTACGTCGAGCGGTACCAGTGAGAGCGGTAGCAGCGCAAGCGGCAGGATGCAGTTGACAGGAGCATCGGCTCCTGGCGCGGCCGCCTCGCCAGAGTCAGGCGTCTCCCCGTTGACCGACGCCTACACTAAGATGACCAGCGACATCCTCGCTGAGAGGACTCTGGGTGACTTCGTTAGCGAGCATCCCGGCGAGTTAGTTAGAACAGGTAATTGAACGACGATAATACCTCGGCAAATAGAGATCAGCGGGGATCAGTAGTGATTGTAGAACGAGGACACCTTTGCGATTTGTTGACAGAATAATGCATACATTTAGCACAAATAATGTTAGCCATCTTGCAGCTAATGAGATCGTGTGAACATTCTCGTTTACAGGCTCGCCACATTTGGTCTGTACCGTTCTGCCCGCACACTGGAGGTCCAATAAGACTCTTCCGGTGGCTTTCAAAGTCGTAGCTCTCGGCGAGGTGGGCGACGGTACCTTGGTGACTGTTCGCGCTGGCAACGACGAGAATTGTTGCGCCGAGCTTAGAAATTCGACGGCTCTGATGAAGAATCAAGTCGCCAAGTTTAACGACTTAAGGTTCGTCGGCAGAAGCGGAAGAGGTGAGTCCGTCTGTTATGTCTTTTGGTTTAAAAATTCGCCACCGATGACAATCTGTAGTCATTCAAACGAATAATTCATCGCGACGAGACGGTGAAGAATGTCGGGCGACATTCTCTTGTCCCACTTTCCTCTCCATTCATAAAACTCCAAAGTTCCTTGGTCTTTGCTCGGAGCGTGTCGCCCTTCGCCTTTTATGCCGGAAGAAAATGCCGGAGGGGTGAAGCACCGACGCAGTGGAAACCCCTTCAAAGAATTCGGTGTACACCGCGTAGTAAGGGTAGGTCGTGGACGTCTTGAGACAACCCTCGTTTTTCCTTGGCTCCTCGGAGGAAAAGTCTCGCGTCCCCGCTCCGCTCTGGGGGTTGGGTCCTCGCGTCGAGAAAACCTTGGGGTGGGTAATGGCTTTTATTTGTCCGCACCACCGTGCGACCTTCTCACTTTGCCGCCCAGCTTCGTCGAGGAAAGGGCGGAAACGAGAGAGGGACTGAGGCATCGTTCGAAGAAGCCGCCGACGTCGACTAGACGGTACAGGGGTGGGTGATATTAATTGAGGTTTCAGTTGAGTTTTAATTAACGTTATTAGAGCCGGTATCTCGTCTAACTGCGTCTTTTGAACTTACGCTGTGAAGCCCTTGATTAACGTTACTTAAAGTAGCTGTATGTTCATCCGACCTACTTCTGACAATTTCGATAAAGTTGTTTGGCTTACTGAACAACTTGAATTGCAATTTGTATGTTATATTAATTTTTTAATATTAACGTTAAAATGAGTATTAAAATAAAAATATAGGGAAAAATAACGTATATAGTTCTAATGTGATAATTATTAGAGATATGCTATTGTAATAATTATTGTTAGTACGCTGTTGTTTTCATATTTTTGATAGTATTGGTAAGGGAAGGCTAATCGCTTGAAAATCAGGAAGCTCGCAGATTCTCTAGCCGGGAGAAGCCGGGGGAACTCTCTCCCAAGTTCACGGGAACGCGTCAGTCATTTGTCTGGGATTAGCTCTCAATTGTTTTCGCCGAGCACGGAATTAACATAAGCTAGGATGAAGAATGTAAGAGAAGTGTCTCTCTCGTCAGGATTCCTAACAGCTCCCTGGCTCCTTGAATATTCCCTGAAAACCGATGTGCGCCGAACGAATTCTCGGGAATTCTTAATGATCCTCTTGTTTGTCGGGCTCGGAAATATTCCCATGTATGAATTTGCGAGGATTTTGTCCTTCCGAGATTTGTGAAAGAAAATTCTTAGAAATTCCTGTTAGCTATACTTTCTGCCTCACATATAAGCGTAATTAATACATTCATAATATTATAAGAGATTTTTTACGTTTAGAACGTGTGTAAAAAGGAGGCGACTTTGTGCAGCGTTTATGCAATCTACGAAAGTAAGAATATCGCTGCTGCCGTTGCATTTAGACGTATTGCCGCTGCAATAAATTCAAGGAGTTCGTTAAACGCAACGCCGGCGCCATGCTTTTGTCTTCGCCTAAAACCGCTTTTAGCCCGGACAAGATTGAGCGTACTGCCGCGATAGTCGAGAGCTTTGCAATATCGATGATAAGCCGTAACCCCCTTCCCGCACGTTCGACCGTAATGCCTGCTCCATCACTGCAAAGTCTACCCTGAAGGTACCGGATTGTTTCCACCCCTTCGGCCCTAAGCCCTTTAACGAGATAGATCATTTGCGCGCTTATAGTTCCAACCCATAGCAAGATATCCTTCGACTTTGCCGCCGCGAATAAACTTCGTCACGAGAACGTCGCCAGTCTAACCAAGTTGCTTTAATTCTACAACACACTTTCCCTTAAACTTCATAATCATCTTACTTGTAATATGTAACGTGAACAAGAGTAGAAAATAATTAACAAAATTTTATGGAATTTAATTTTAATAAACTGATAAATATTGATAAAAATTATTTCATAGTAACAAAGAGTGGGCGATGTTTAAACACAATATATGTGGATAATTTATTGACCTTTTGGGAGTAATAAAAATTTATAAGGTTGAATTGATAAAATTACTCGCGTTTATTCGAGAAATGTTGATTCATCGACCGCAACGCGAGAACTCGTTTCAACTCCGAAAAGAAAAACGGCATTCACTCGCGGTAACGACGGCAGTTTCAGACCGTAATCAATTCGTTATCAGACTGCAATTGCGCATTTGCGTTTCGTTCCGGGAAAATTGAAATTAATTAATTGGCCCGACAGTACACCGACAGCGTACAATGCCGAGACATGTGTACGCACGCGTAGTTCCACACGTTTGCAGAGGACTATATGCTAACGAGCATAATCAGCGAATGGTCGAGGATGAGCCTCTCTATGTTGTGTTTATCCTAAATTCGACGACGAATATGACTCTTGTGCACTCTAAACGTTATTAGCGTGTAATCGTATTATTTCATTTTCTCTCTTGTATTATATAAACAATTTTTTAAGATTGGATTTATTCAATTAATTCCACAGTATCGATGATCGGTCGGACGATAAATAAGGACTCGCGTGTTTGGGAAACTGCAATCTTGTTCAGATAAGTTAACAAATCGCGCGTTTAAAAGACGTAAGGATGGCGAGAGCGTTTGAGCTCTCGGGCGGACGACCTTTAATGGCTGTACGGCGACTGGCACCGAGGGTGATACCCGTGTACCTACGCGTACCTACCTAACCGGGACCGTCGACTCCGTCGTGGCAGCAGAAGTGAAAAGGTTGGCTGGCAGGGTGAGGGCACGGCGAGAATGGCGTGACTCGCGGCCAAAACCGAGGGGAATCCTCGCTAGAAAACGAAAAGCTCGCGTGGCGAACCACCGTGTGGCCACGCTCGACACTCCGCCATTATTTCTCCGATGCCCTACCTTCCACCTTCGTTCGTCCCTTTTTTTTTTCTTTTTCGACCACCATCGATCATCTTACGTCACAGTGCGGCGGACTTTACCGTCTCTATTGACGCCGCGCCGCGCCGGTTGAGAGTTCAAGTCGACGGTGAACTCTGACCCGATCGATTATCGCATTTGCCACGTACGGAAACGTGTCTAATGGATCTGATAGAAAAATACGGTAATGGCTGCTTGAAAGGGTAACGCGACCCTGTTGTAATGCATTAAGTGAAAAGGACTCGTTTAGGGGCAGATATAAATAACATAATGTGTTATCCTTCATTTTGTAAACCGGTAGCGGAGATAAAAGCACGCTACCTTTGCAGCATTATCGTATCTAATTTCAAGAAAACATGTTTTGGAGGATACGTCTATTGCACGAAGAGTTTATGCGATATGTAGGTTAGTAAGATGATCATTACATCTCCGTCGTGTAATATAAAATAGCGTTATGCCGATGTAAATATCCCACCCTTGCATCGCGAACGAAATTTATACCGTGGAGAAGGAGAATCGGGGTCGTTTTTGGCTGAGCGATGCATGGCGATGGAAAAAGAGGGAGTTAAAATTGCGGTGAACCTCCCGCGCGTGCAACATTACCGCGCGCTCTCTCTCTTTCTCTCTGTCGCGCGCGCGCAATTTTTGCCGCGGCGACTCTTCGCATCGCTCGGGACACGCTCCTCCGCAAATTTTCACGCGCTTTATCGCGTGCCCGTGCACGTTGAATCGATAGCGATCGCGCGAGCGAGTTTTCGCGGCCGGAGTCTCGGGCGCTTAATGCTCGCGGGATGAAATTGCGGTATACCGTTGCACGCGCGCGTTTCCAACCGGAGCGACGGCTCGCTCCCCTTCCCCCCCTCCCCTCCACCGCTTTTTCCACGACATTATTTCGCGCTCGACCGAGGCTTTTTAGCATCACGCGACATCCGCCCTGACCGCCCGATTCATCCCTCGAACGCGAACCACCCCTCCGTTCCCTTAACTCGGCCGCGCTGGCTGGCCACTGTCACCGTCGACGACGCCCTCGATACATTACCGACGTATAATTCGGTTACCACGGAGTTTCGCCCGGCTAACCGCGTTTGCGAACTTTCGACGTTGTCGGCTGAATAGGCCGCGTCCACGAATCGACGTGTCGCGGAACGGCGAAACCGACGGCTAAAAACGTGCCCGACGTTTAACGTCGTCCGCCTCGTTTTTGGAAAGCTAATTTTCCCAGCCTTTCCATGCCGCCGCGCGTCGTCGCGGTGCGTTAAAATTAAAGTTGCATGCTCGCAGTAGGTACACCAGGAGATAAATTTATTTAAGTAGAATATTGCAGACCTCCCCCCCCGATTGACCACATAATACGTTGAACGTGTTCTTTGTTTCAGGCAAAAGTTTCACCTTAACGATAACGGTGTCGACGACGCCGCCTCAAGTCGCCACTTATAGCAAGGCGATTAAGGTGACAGTTGACGGGCCGCGCGAGCCGCGATCCAAGACCAGTGAGTATCACTGTAAGCATTTCTGTTCTTATATCTTTATATTACATCTTATATATTGATATTACATTTGATTCTTGTTAAAATAGTCAATAGAATAGTAGTGTCTCATCAAGCGTATTATACATTGTACAAGCGGGACACAGCTCGTCAATAGCTTCGCGTCACATATAGCTCCACAATCGTGGCGTTTCGTCGTGATGATTATCAAGACTCTCGACGCGATAAACGCGGTCGCGCTTTGCAATTGGGAAATTCGGGCGCGAGCGCGTACTGGAACACAATGCGAAAACGGGCTTTATCGCGATACCTCTCACACGACACGATCGTAATGCCTAACGAACGAGCGGCGTGGCACCGGAGGCGGTAAAAGCCGCAAGTTCGAAATGGCCCCCAGCGTGCGGCTTCGCGCCGGTCGGCCGTTACCCCTCCTCAAGGCTAAGTTTCGCGCAATTGTCATTATTTATAACCGCGGGGCACCCGGGTCCCCGCCATAACATTGACAAAGAGCTGCGGGCGTTGCCCCCGCGGAGGTTGTGTATCGCGGGGGCGCTTCGGCCAAAACGCCGGGCGACGCCTACAAACTTCGCGGATATCCGGTCTCGCGCGAGAACTCCTCCGCGCGCGCGAGCGCTAGTGCCGCGAGAGACATACAATTACCGAGAATTCTCCCCCGTTATTTCGGTAGGTGCGCTGTCGAGCCTGTCTGCGGAGAAGGTTCCCTGCTTAGGGGCGAAGAGAAAGGGACGTTTCTCATTCTCCGTTTGTTACCCACCATGTAACCTACTACGTGTAACTACGTTGCACGCTTTGTGCTTTCGAGCACGTCAATTTGTGACGTAGAATCACGTGCGAAGATTTCCTTTAAAACATTTCGTCTCAAGATTGGTTTTGTTGGACAAAGAAGAACAGATTTTGGGTCCGACAATTTCAACGCAACAGACGTATCGGGAAAATTTCTGGTAACGCTGGTATTTCGATTATGAGATCGATCTTCTTGAGAGAGACCGTGTTACATTGCCGCCGATACAATCCCCATTTCGCTCCGTGTTGCCTTAGGTATTGGAACGCTAATACGCGTAATGTTGTCCCTGAAGACGCACCAAAAATATCCGATAGCTTTAATATATCGAGGCGGTCGCTCTCCGGGTAGCACGGGGCATAAGTTTGGTACCTTGGGAAATTGCGACCACATCCGCCGGCTTGGCCGCATCTGCGGACCACCCACGAAACTTCCGTCATAAATCCAAAATATGAAAACGCGAAATTTCGGTGTACCGCTCGGAGACGCGCATCCAAGCAAAACACTACATTTCAGAGAAACGTAACGTTTCAGAGAAGTAATTTCTCTCGCGATATTAATGCCACTGACGGTTCGTTATTTCATTCAAGTATTTAAAAACGGGATACGTTTTATTGCGAGATACGGAATTACGGATTATTATGCCGCACTTTTTAATACGTCGGTAATAATTTTCAATTTGAAAGAATGAAAATCACTCCGACCTGAGAATACGTAAGTTTTGCGGAGCGTCGTGATATTTTTGAAAGCGAACAGGCAGATTTTTAGGGATCGTTAAGATAGCGCAAGGATGTCGGAAATAGACATTCGTCACACGGCGGCGCTTTGAATCTTCTATGAAAACAAACCGTTTACTGAATCGGGGACAATTTCAAGGATGGCGGCGCGAGATGAAAGAGCTTCGGCTTTCCGGGTGGTCCTCGGGCGCTTCTTTCCGAGGCCCACGATCCACATGTTTCATCTCGTCTTTGAATAAGCTGTAAGGACTTGTAATAATCATATTTTAGTACATGACAAGTTTATTTTCACACAATTTATCAAGGTGTAATAATTTGAGGAAAAGAAAGAAAGAGAAATATTAATATAGAAGGTAACGTCTAAATATTTCCTGTCTGTACATTGATTGGTAAAATCTTTACGTATTTTTCGTGATTAAAATCGCAATTTTACGTACGAGCGGATATGCATTCGGAGAAGTGCTATACAAATTGTGCATTCGTGCATTCGACGATCAAACGCGCGAGAATGAACGAATGAACCTTATCTAAGACAATACCGGGCGAATGCCTCCGAAGGGTCGTAATTAATTAAACAAGCAATTCATTACACATTCTACCCTCGTCTGGTAGCCGAAGGTGGCCGTTGCCGCGGAAAGGCTGCGGGTGCCAAGGAAATTGATTGAGGGAGGTTTAGCCGCCGGGTTTCGATGCCGCTCGCGAGGACTCGCCCATTCGAAGCCTGGGATTCGAAGGTTCGCGGGATGCATCTTCGGGTGCGAACGAAACGATTCGCGACGGCAATGGGTAAAGATCGGAAATGGGTGTCGCGCTCACCAGCTCCAGTTCGCGTCAAGAGAAGCTGAGGGACGCGGGTTGAGCGAGGGAGAGAGAGAGAAAGAGAGAAAGAGGGGGGGGGGGAGCGGGAATTGGCGACGGGACGAAATGAGGATCTGTCGTTGCCAGCTGCTAACTCTCGAGAAATTCCCTGGCAGTCACGGCGCGCAAAGAGGGTGTCCAATGAAATCGATAGCCGCGACTTGCCGGGGACTTACGACTTCGTTCAATCGTCAAACATTTCCCCATTTCCGTGAAAGAAAAAAATCCTGTCGAAGATCGTCCGCCGCCAGATAAGCCAGAAACGAGCGATTATCCAGTCGAGATACTCGATAGATCGTAAGCGCGCCTTATAAAAATGCGTGCTCGTGAAGAGCAATATTGGGAGGGATAGTTACGTGAAAGATTGACCACTGATTATTTGCTACTTCGTTTAAACGGGAAAGTAATGGCGGGAGGGAGGGGATTTAGAAGAGCGAACGATCGCACGTACGTCTATTCGGAGGGTCGCACGAGTGCTCGGCGCTTAATGAAATACTGCGAAGAACGGCGGTGCGCCGAATTCAAAGGGTTAGGGTGGCGTGATAAATACGCGGGTCGAGCGGCATAATTTATTAAATCTATCAAGCCGCCAGCCGTAGGAAACCTGTACCGGTATCTCAAAACAAATCCTCGTTCGAACGGTGCAGGCCGTTTTCCGATCGCATTTCGGTCGCGTGGCGCGCGTGCCCATTTCTCACGCCCGTAACGGTTGAAAATCGAATTTACGCAAAAACCTTGGACGATGCGACGAATTATTTGCCTCTCAAAAGAAAATAAAAGGTGCTTTACCTAAGGATGCGACGAATATATTTTCTTCTTAGGACAAAATAGAAAGTGTCTTACCTAAGGAACCCGGACGAGCCGTGGAATTTTCTCCCGGGCTTCACTCGGTCCTGCGGCGTGCTCGAATCGCCGGTCGTTTAACAGGATCTCGTTAGTCTCGGTACCCGTCGGTATTCCGCCGTCGCGCCCCCATTGTGTCCCCGGATCGGGCGTACCCTATTCAGCAAACCGGCGGGAATTTCGGGTTGCCGAGTTAGAATTAGGGCTTCGATTGGATTATCAGGACGGCGGGAGTCCGCCACCACCCTCCCTTTCCGCCCGGCAACCCTTCGTGTCGGTCTCTCTGGCCTCCGGTACCTTCCACGTTGAATCGTTGCCTTTAGGGGAAGAGAACGGACCTCCATGGTGCGGCGCACGGCTGTCCTGTAGCGGCGACCTCCAGCCAGGGGACAGCCGGATAGGACGTCCGCCTGTTGGGACGTCTTTAATTGGGTTGGCGACACCGTCGCAGGGAAATAAAATGTATCGATGCCTCTCTCGTGTCTCCCTCCCGTTCGTTCCCCGGCTTCCGAAGGGACGGGCCACGGCGTTTACTCGTATCGTTCCGTTTGTCGTTTCGTATAAATGAAAGATGCGTCTTGCACCAATTGTCGGACTAAAAAAACTCGAATTACTTTGGCATTGTAAAAAATTATACCACATTTTTAAACTTAAATTTACAAGGATTATTCCTATTATATTTATACGCGTAAATAAAGTGTTGGTGTCGATACTGAAGCGTTCGCTTTCGAGTGCAATAAAAGAAGAACGACACGTAGTTGAGATATGTGATTGATACATACACCGGAGGTCCAGTGGACAGGCGCACGGTTGATCGCAGTGCTGTCTCTTTTAGGGCAGCAACAACAGTTTCATGCCTTCGCGTTCGCCTCGCAACGAGGCGGTCCATTCTTCGCCTCGCCCTTGGTGGACCCGTTGCAACCTCTGCCAAATCCGTTGCAACCATTACCAAATCCGCTCCAGCCGAGGGATCCGTTGTCTTCTTTTAGACACGCGATGCCTGGCAATTGTCAGAGTAAGTAATCGACCGCGTCTGCGCATGATCATCATCTCGCCTTCAATCATGTGGCTTAGCTTTCTCGTCAATAATTTACTCTATGTGTCTGCATGTATCCTTCTTTCTGTAGCCGACTTGTGTGTGAGCATTTCTTTGACGTTAAAGATTTTTTAAAGAGTAAGCCTGCATATTATATATTAGAAATTTGCAAATGTATGTAGCGAAAATATGTGTAAAAAACGCGCAAAGAATTGAATTGTATGCGAGGAAGTATTTTTTCAAATTTTATTTTACGACAGTCTCTCGCTTAGTGGCGTTATGAAATTTAGATAATTTTTGTCATCGAGTAGGTGGCTTCTGTCGAGTTTGGGAATATTTTCAACCAGACTGCTACTGGTCTGAGTACAGAAGCACGGCTTTTGGGTAGGCTCGGCAGCAAGCTTCTCGGCTTCAGAGGCGGAAACCGCAAGCCTGTTCAAAGCTAGATTAAATATTATATTAAAGGGGTTGCCACGGAAGCGCGTCCCAGTCGGTTGGCTCCCTGTTTTGGGGGTGCAGCCTCACCTTCTCTCCTCGCGTTTATAACGTAGATTTCGCGAGTTTGCGCGTAAAACGCATTGGCGAAGTAACGTCAAGCGAGAGAGAATGTTGCTCGTTGATTTGGATTATTTAAAAAAGAAGCTATCGCGCTTGATTAAAATTGCGCCGCTGATCGCGCCACGATCAAATCTGACCGACGAACGTGCGCGAACGATGTATATATATGTATACTATCTGTACGATAAAATTTTTAATACTTTTCTCGGGCGCGCGTACATCGATAAACGGTTCTGGTAGTGCGCAAGAAGAGACGAGAAAAAAAAGCTTAAACAATAATTCGAGATCAGCCGTTTTAATGAGTTACCTCAGACATGAGGGCTGACTGCTCCGTTACTAGCAAATTTCCCGATAAAATACGAAGCACGCCGAATATTTCCTTTATTAACTTTTTTCCCTCATCTGGTCGTTCGATATAATATGCGTATGCGATGATATTATTCTCACGCTATACGCTTGCAGGCGGATTCGATTTCGTGGGACACTTGCGTACATGCGGGATTACGTCTAATAAAATTGTAAAAGCTTAGAATAAAGTTTATTATGATACAACATCATCTTTATACGACATAATTAAATATAACTAAAATAAAAGAGTTTTGCAAAGCAATTCCACGGACTTTTGTATAAATGGACTCGAGGCGAGGATTCAATCAGATATTTGAATCCCGCAGCGTATCTTTGAATTCGGACACGGACTCGTGCGCAACTTTCGGCGATTTTCCATAAAAAGGGTGGCCCCTCTTCGGACCGCAAGGAATCCGGTAATGCCGAAGGATGTGAAAGCACCGGGCGGATAGCAGTATTTAGGGTTAGCTCTCGTGACGACGGTCCGGTGGCGCTTGCCGAGGCGGGCTCGGTTATTTGAGTTGGCCCCAGCTACGCGGGGGATGACCAACCCTTTGATCTCGATGTACTCTTCCGTTCCCCTCGCTCCCCCTCCGTGTCCGCCCCGTGTCCCTCTCGCGAACGCTCGTGTGCTCGTCCTTTCTGCATTCAACCCCCGTGACTCATTGGAAAATCTATCGGGGATGCTGCCTATACCCCGCAAAAATACATCCGCCAAGGGGCGCACAGAACCGCCATCGCCGCCGCCGCCGCCGCCGCCGCCACCGCCGCCGATGCATCTCGCCAAGTGATTCGAATTGGCATATAATCCGGCGAAAATTTCTCTCCCCCGTACCTTTTCAGCCTTCTGTTGTTCCATTCGATTGTTGCGATTATTATTTATCTTTTTCCGCCGATGTGACTGCCAGTGCCATCAGCATTGCTATCGATGTTTTTATATTAGTACGCTTTTCTGTGAACGTATTTGTTTGCGCTGCTTGTTTTTCGCCGTCCAATTGATTTTCCCCGATGGGAGCATCTCGACGACGATTGTTAATGTTTTCGCAATTTAATGTTTTAACGAACAACATTCTTCGCTTTCTCTCGCTTTGCGACTGTCGATCTTTTCCGTTTTTTCTTTTTCTTTTCGTTATTCCCGGCGAAGCGTGCAAATAGTTGGTTTCTCTAGACATGTCCCAGTTCGGCCTGACAGCGAGCAATTCTTGGGGATACGGTAGCACGGCCGGCTACGCCGGCTACCTTCCGGGTCCCCTCTCGTCGTGCGCCGCACAGGCCTCGTTCCCACCTCCGCCGCCACCCCCTCCGCCGCCGCCGCCGTCGTCCACGTTGGCGTCTTTCGCCGGCACGGCCTCCATGACTACGCCGACGGCACCGGACTCGACGGCGGGTTCGACTGTCACATCCGCCACCGGCAATACCGGCAGCGCACCGCAGCAGGACGCATTCTCCGCGGTCTCCTCTCGTAAGTTTCAAGCTCGCTGCACGTCGAATTTTGCACATGATTTTGACGAGTGAACAACCATGAGGTGTCGCCTAACTGTCTGCTTTCTATACGTTTTGTTTAACTTTGGCTCTCCGAAACGGTAATTTTATAATTGAGATCAAGCGATTTCAATGAGAATATATGAACTGGAATAAAATTTGTCAAAAAATGTTTTTCATTTGAGTAAAATCTTGAAAAATAAAACTGGAAGCATCGGGCTATGCCTCGCGGTTGAGAATGTTCGAAAGTTCAGTAGTATAATAGATATTATAGTTCTCAGATAGATATTAGTTCTCGAGAGGCTAGATCTAGGTCGTGTTCTGTTTGTCTTGGCTAACTGAAATAGCGTAGCTTCTCCTTCCTCGAATCGCAGTCGTACCGGACACCACGACACCAGGTCAGTCCGATCCGTTGGATCCGCTGAGCAGCCTCATGTCCGGCGGCTCCTCCAGCCAGAGATATCAGGACTACGTGTCGCCAAGATCACTGTCCACTGACTCTAGCACGACCGAGAGCCCGGTGCACGAGGAGCAGGGCTTCGGGCAGAATTACGGCAACTACTTCCCGACGCCCGGCGTGCTGCCCAGCATCCTCTACTCCCAGCTCTACGGGAATCAGTTCCAGAATCCCGAGAGCGCCGAGCAGAGGGCCGTCGCGGACAGTTGCAGCGTGAGGCAAGAGGAAGTCAGACCGGACAACAACGTCTGGAGGCCGTACTGAGAGGCGGAGGCGAGCGATTCCTTATCTAACAATTCGGCTATCGAGAAATTTGGCGACTTCTGGAAGACAAGAGGGAAGTAACGCTTAACAAGCTCTCAGCTCTCTTGGCTGTTGGCTGTTGGCTGTTGCGGCGACATCGTCGATCGTAATTGTAATGTGAACGGTGGTGAATTCTTTGAGGACTAACGAAGTGTCGAGGACGATTCTCGATGGCGAATTAGCACTAGTGGGCATTAAAACTTGATCCGGAAGGAAATCTCGGAGGGGCGAGTCAGCGTTCACCGAGGGACCGTTTCTTCTTTTCCGGAAAGCTTCGGGCTAATAAAAAAAAAATTGTTTTACCGGTTGTGTGTGTCTCACGCCAATGAATCTTAGGGATGAAAATGAGCGAGGGGAGATTTGTAATTAAGTGCGAACGAAATTGCGTACGAAAGAGCGTGCACGGATGTGAAAGTGGTGATGACGACTTACAATAATGATTATCCACACAGGGATGTATATACGTGTACATAAAGCTAGAAACATTGTCGTTTCATCGAATCATTACTCGCCGTCGTTTTCAGCGATGCGATATTTCAGTTTCATCGATTACGTTTTCATAGTATATATAATTGTCAACGACTGCTGCGGGACTCGTGCAATATCGTCGAGCGACTGACGTCGGCGATTAGCTTACCTTTCTTTTTTTTTTTTTTGTAAATAACATATATCTTCCACGTTGCGCGCGTTCAGTTTCCCTTCGACCCGCGTTTTCGTCAAAAAAGAAAAAAAAAGAACTCCATTTTTCGGACTGAAGAAATTCGGCTCCACGCTTTCGGCGAGATATTTGCAGCGACGTCTAAGTTATCTTGAGAATTATCGACCGATTCGCGAAAGTCGCTACCGCACGTGCGGTCACGTTCCGGTCGAGCCAGCCGATAAAATCAAAATGAGATTCGATTCGCGTGTGAGGTGTGAAAAAGTTTTTCCTGTCGCGTGAAAATGTCGCCGCGGGGGGGAGGGAGCGCGCGAGCGGCGAAATGCTCGCGGAGTATTCAACGAACGAATGAACGAACGTGCCGGCATCGAAGATCGCGTTACATCGAAATTTCTGCCAAAGAAAACGAAAGCCCGAGGGACAAAACTCGCGAAAATAGTTTTCCGCGAGTAACACCGCGCCGCGCCGGCGAGAAGCTTATCCGTTTTTGTAAACCGGCGACGGGGCACACTCTGCGTTTCCGAAAAATGATTTCCGATATACATATCTACCGACCTATTGTTATCGTAGTTTTTGACCGAGTCGAAGTAAAAGTGTATTTCAAAATATAATCCACACGACTTTTCTCTTTGATCACCCACGCTACCGTTCCATCGTCCCCGATCTGTTATCCTAAAATTTTTACATAATTTAGAAGACATCTTTTTCACGATTTTCTGTACGCTGTTACTTTTTAGAGCCTTTTATTTTTCTTGCGTAACATTCACGTTTCAATTTTTCTTTTTCTTTTTAGTGTCTTATTTTTTGGACGGTATCCTTGCTCTCTCGAAGTCGTCTTCGCTCAGATTATCATCATCATCTCGGAGGACTAGTGGCGGATCTACATTAACAGGTAGGTAGAGAAACGAATCTCTACAGGGGTCTCGGTAACGCCAAGGGTTCTAAAGGATTCTCACTGACGGAAGTGCGTATATGCAAATTTGCAAAAGATTTAATTAAACCTGGTCTCGGGAGGGGAATTTGCGTCTGCCTCGTAGCTCCAGCTTCAAGTCGTATATGTACGTATATGATGAAGGCGTGTTTCATATTTAGTACACCAAGTTAAGTTTATCACTGTAAATGGCGTATCTCGGTACTACAGCGACATATTTTTAAAGGCGTGGCCATACGCCACCCTCTTTCGAATATCAATTTGGTCTATATCATGTTACAATATAATTTTACTAATACAGATACATTAATAATAATCATTACATGACATCTTTGAGAGAAGAATAGAGTATTCGCTATTTGTCGCGAATTGTAATTAAATAACGTCGTACAATTTTATCTCGTCGAAACTCTTAATAATTAATACCAAATAATTCATTCGTAATTATGTTTGAATTTTGTGAACGGAAAAGTTGACTTCAAATTGGTCAAAGGATACACTCTGGCGAAGTTTGATGCGGATTACGAAGCGGTCTGCATAAAGCAACGTACTTTTCTCATTCGATAACCGAGCCACCGCGCACGGGGGCTAGTGTTTATCGCTGTTGCACACAGCGAGGACGACGAGTAACCTGATGGACATATGGCGAGTTCGCGTCGGGCAGGGTCGGCGGGGGAGGGCGGGTATGCGACTCGTCGTTTATACGCGGTGCCGGCATAATGGAGTAGAGTGGAGTAGAGCACGGATAATGGAGTATGAAGAATAGCGTGCGGTGAATGTCGGGATAGTCCCTCTCACCCTTCCGCTTCCCGCTGCGACTCTTCGTTTCCCTCGTCCCTTTTCCTCCCCCGCGAGAACTCGCGTCCATCGAGTCTCTCTCGCTCTCGCGCTCTCTCTTTCTCTCTCGTTCTCTAGCGAGGGTAAACTGGACATGGCTCGTTGACTCGAGCAGTTGGCCATACCGATTTATCGTCCCGCAGGCCACACCGCCGCGCTACCGATTCCGCGTTGAATTCACGATTCTGTCGGCCTTGCTTGGTGCTCATCTTTTTCCGTGCGATTCTCTCGTGCGTTTTTCTTTTTCATCCTTTATCTCACGGGCATCCTCGCGGAGGATATATCGTTCATCGTACAAAGAGAAACGAAGAATGAAGAAGGGAAACGCTCGAATATCGAAGCTCTTTTGTCACAACTTGCGTATGCAACTACGCGTACTTCCTGAGTAATGAAAAACAATAATTACTCGCTGTAATGCAATTTATGGACGCGGTCGACCTAGCTTCTCTTTGGGTAAAATGAATGAAAAAGGAAGTTAAACCTGGTGAAACTGTAAAAGAATGGCGCGAATGTGTGCAGTAAATTTTACACCATATACAACAGTTTATAAAGAATATTTTTGAAGTCACATAATTTGAGATCATTTGATAATATATTATCGATATTAATATTTAATTTTGACAATAATATTCAATTTCAATTAGCATTTTTACAAAGTCGCATGAATTTTGATATAATCTTAAATTATCATTCGCTGACGTCAACTTGTAATCAAGTCAATTATTCAATCAATGTGTATTATTTAGCTATTACGTTAATAAGACGATTGTGATAGCGTCCATTGATTTTCTATTGAAAGAAACTGGAAATGAAAAGAGAGGTATGAGCAAAAAGTGCCCCAGAGCCCCACATACCAGTCGGACCAAACGCATTGTACACACATACGCATGCCACCCCACATCTTTTCTACGCATAGAGCGCACATGGCATTCCCCGTAAACGTTCTCGCTGGTCGGCAGCGGCAGCGGCCGCGGCGGTACGGGGGTGGTTTTGGAGGTGGCAGCGAGGGAATCGCGGTGACGCGGCGGCAGGGGAGAATGGTCGTTACACGCACCGGTCACTGCCACCCCCGTGGCTATCGCCGACACGACTCTCCCCCGCCGCCCTCCCCCATGCAAAATCACCCTTTGTCGCGCTCGATGGGAAATTACTTTTTGTCCGTCGATTACGGGGTGAATTTTCGGACGACGAGACCCGATCATTTCAAACGAGATACGACTACAATTCGAGATGTCTCCGGGAAAGGGTGTCGTATGAACCATGTTCGTATCGTGGCGAATCACATTCTCTTATTTGCCACGAGTCGTTTCGATTCAATAGTAATTGAGCAAATAATGATTAATCGGTCAAAGAAATTAATTCTTCCTGTTTTATTTTATTTTTACCGCGATTGCAAAAATATTCAGAATTTTTAAAATTTTATTATTATAAGATTAGTCATTACTGTGTTTTTTATTGAAAAAATTAGATAATCGATTTCTTACATTATTGCCGGACTTATTAATAATACCAATGTGATTTAACGTCTAAAATTCTTTCAAATTTTTATTTAACTTATGTAAGCTTAACTCTCATATTCTAAGATCGCGTAAAACTCGTAGTAGACGGCATCGTATTAAATTCCACGCCGATTCGTGCGCTGCATGACGATGCCTGGAAATAAGAGAGAGACTTGACGAAGTGTGCCCGCGGGGCCACCAGCCCTTGATTACCAAGATCTTCATCTACATGCTAAACATCGCTCCACGGCACCGTCTTGAATACTCTTGTACTTACGTATGTATCTAGATCCATGGCCCGCGGATCCCCGTCTCCTCCGTTCGCTTGCAGCATCCGAGGTATTCCGCACCCTTCCCCGATCTTCCTGACACCCCATGAAACGCATTGCCGTACCATCTGTATGATGTTTGCTTAGATTAAATTAACCGACCGTGAAGCCGTCCTTTGTTCTTCGTGCGGCGCGCGGCGAAAATGCCGACACGCCGAAAGGAACGGGAAAAGAGGGAAGTCGGAGGGGGGAGGGAAAAAAGGTTCGCCTGTACGGAGATCCTGGAATTTTTCGCGTGTACGGATTTGTGAGGTGAAATCAGACTTGCTACAATTTATTATTAACGCGTACAAAATGTTTAGCATTGAGATATGTAAGCAATGTTGCAACAACAGGAAAGATAATACATTTCTTGTATTTTACAGTAGTAGAAAAGGAATAGAATTCGAGTAAGATTTAAAAATGCAATTTATTAATAAGATTCTTTAAAGATTCTTTAAAGAAGGCGCCATCTTTCTTGGTGGTGACTAAGCGTACTAGTGGCTTCTTAAAAGACGCTTGCCGGCGGTGCAACTTCTTTAAGAAAATATCCTTATTCTTTCTTTCTTACCGACTCGTTTTGCCGTAGGTTTAATAGCCGTTCACCCCCTAATCTTACGTCGATTCAGTAGCAAATGTATGAGTTAGAAAAGTCAATTCCTCGAAGTGATGGTCTTTATACTGCCTTTTTTAAAATTTCTAATGAATTAAGAAAACCAAATTTCTTTTCGAGAAAAAATTTCTGAAAAATCATGGGTCTTCAACAGATGTTAAATTAACGAGACAGCTATTGAATTATATTTTGTTAACAGCAATTACTTCTTACATTTTTTTTAAACTCGTTTTTTTACCGACCTTTTCGCAAGCTGCCTTACCACAAGGGTGACGTTTTCTTAGAGCTAAAGAAGGGTGCAAGAAGGAGGAGGGTGAGTCTTCTTAAATGTCTTTACCATCTTCCTCGTACGAGGGCGACACCGGTATCGCCTTTAGGAAAAAAGATTGATAAGACCAGAGTTTATTTTAATCCCATTATGCATACTTTGCGTTTCCTTAAATTTAGATCTCGGTTCTTTTGTAATTAGTAACAAGTTTGCAAAGCTTAATTCTCGGTGAATTGCAGTGAAAACTTTTCCATGTAATAAGCGTCGATTATCTCAA